GCCATAAAATTGCCATTCGATATTACCGGATCGAGGAATATTCAAAAATTAATACTTCATGAAGCCGGTGGAGCATCAATGAATGCAGATACTCGTCTGACATATAAGATCATGAGTTTTATTCTAGAATAATTCATCTTGGGTCGTGTTTTGGCTGCAGTTATTAATAGTATATCATAATATTTCAAAGGAGGATTTCTGTAGTACAGACAAGCGTGTCCTTAATTTAGTATGTTAGGAGAAAATTCCGTTTTAAAATATATTATATTTTCTCTATAAAGGCTTTAATATTGTGCTGTAATTTATATGTACTATCCACAAATAAGACGATAGTCTTATTTACAAGAAGCTAATAAAATACCTATTTTTATTCCTATTTTTATTAATTCTTTTGCGGTTGAGAAAACGCAGATTTTAAATATCTCGGATCCACTCTAATCCCAAATGGCGAAGCGGAAGACGAAATTACCAGCTTTATTACCGCGATAATGGCAGGTAGAAATGTTTTTTTCCTGCTAATGAAAACTTTATGGACTCATTACGAAATCACTTTGAAAACGAAAGCCAGCGTCTATATAGTCGCAGTTCGCTTGTTCTTTCTATATGGCTACGAGATTTGGCTATTGAAAGTGGAGGATATTAAGAGGCTATCTGCCTTTGACCACTCATGTCTAAAATATAGTCCGTCAAGCGGAAAGAATTGCATATGATTGCATCCACTCGCGCTCAAATACACTCGCATTAACATCACATCACAGTAACATCGCAAAACGCCATCTTCGCTGGTTAGGGCTTCGTCATCCATCATAGGGTTGGCATATGTTTCGTTACTTTCTAAATCCGTGATAGATGATGATGTCACAAGCGGCAATGTCCATTCAAGGCATGTTGTAATAAAGCCAGGAAATATCTTAAACGTATAACAAGCTATATATGGATTTAGACGATGGAAAAAAAATGGCTTTATTATTGCTAGCGATAGCGTCGGGCCAAATAGCCTGGAGATTCCTTACCCTTTTAGTCAGCCTAACCAGCAATGCTGAGAGCTGTTGGAAGAATATCCATATATTCATAAATGCATTTTAACAGAATTTTGCTTTATAATGGTTTAATAATAAGCAATGGAAAAAATGGTGCTTTGGGGAAAATATATTGGTATGAAAGATGAGGAGAAAAAATAATAACTAACAGGTTTTTTGCTATACGTAAGATTTTTTATGCAATTCATATCGTTTATAAGTTATTTTCCAGGTCGTAAGCATACGAGGGATTTTGATGGTGGTTTTAAGCAAATTTGTTCCATGCCTTAGCGAAACCTGTGGATTACTGCATGCTGCCGACTTTATAGGTGGCAAATCTGATTTTAATTTTATTGCTTTTTTTGTAGCATTTCGTTCATCTTATTTTTTAATTAGTTTGTTAGTTTTATTTTCTTGATCAACATGTTTTTTTATGAAAAAACGAGCTTGAAAGAAAATTAATTTTATCTTTTGTAGTTCGTTTGTTTAATTTTTGCAGTGTAAAATCCTCCCTAATAAAAAAATCTTTTTAGTATCACAAGCACGTCTTGAACACGGACGAGTTTTTCGCAAACGACCGGGAGATCTAGTGACATCGCGACTTAAAGATATATTTCATTTCTATATATTGGGAATTGGACTCTTTCCTGTGCTTTGTACTATCCTTTATACACATATTCGTTATGGTTTGTTTTCAATTAAGTTCACTTTTATCAAATTTTCTCAATTTTTTTGAACGTGTTGATACTGAATTTACAATTAAATTCACTTTATTTTGCTTATAAATAGATGTCTGCTTTAATTAACTTCGAAACTGGTCCTTCAATTTTTTTGCAAAAAATTTAAGCAAATAGATTTATTTGATATCTTAATATGTAATATGTTAATGGATATTAATAGACATGGTGCCAGTTTTGTTTCCAGGCCCTTGTGAGTTATCTGAAGAGTTAAAAGATGGGCCGCCACCACATTATTGGCAGTATGAAAGAACCTATATAAGACAGTGGTGGGCAAAACATTTTGGTGTATCCGATATAGAACATCACGAACGTCAATTGGCCTACAATGTACGAGCTGCCGTCTTGGCTAAATGGAGGTATTTTGTGATAATAATGAGCATTTAAGTTATTGTTTTTCGTATTTTCACATTGTTTTGTTAATTTTACATTAGTTTTACTTTCAATTTTATATTTAAGTTTATATTAAAAATATTCCTGCGAAAAATTTTTTCCGGGCACACTTTTCCAGGCGTGTGAATCAGCGTGTAAAGCATTTAGAAAGTGAACTTTGGGATTACAAAGGCTGGACATACCAGCCCGTTTCAGCAGCATGGGTCGATTATGGGAAATGGGACGCTCAACGAATGAAAAACCAGTACGAGTCGTATAGGCACTGTACATATTAAACTGAAATTTTACAGCTGTAAACTAAATTAAATTATAATGTTATGCCTATAGATCATTTTTTAAATTTTCAGTGTAATTTTCTTTCCAAGAATTCATTGAACCACATAATGTAATCGCTAATGAAAACACTTCTCTAAATTTAAATTTAGAGCAATTTGGCATAAATTAATCTTTTTTCATTAACTTTTTATTGATGAATTTTTATTGGTATTATTAAGCCTTCTTACTAAAGGCTTTGAAAAATTATGTTATACTATCAATAACTGCAGCCAAAACACGACCCAAGATGAATTATTCTAGAATAAAACTCATGATCTTATATGTCAGACGAGTATCTGCATTCATTGATGCTCCACCGGCTTCATGAAGTATTAATTTTTGAATATTCCTCGATCCGGTAATATCGAATGGCAATTTTATGGCTACGGAATAAGGTACATACATTTCATATACTCTCCCATGAAGAGAACCACATAATTACATCCATCTTCAATTACAACCTACATCAACAATATCATCATAGATCGTCGCCCATGTCAGTTAGTTCAGCGATGGAGAAACGAGTAGCCCCCGGATTTATGGTACCCTACCACTAGCAGTTCACCAGCCAGTAAAGCCAAGCAATAGCAACACAATGCAAATGATGTATTTCTGTACAATTCAAATGAAATGCGATAAAACCCATTCTTATTAAAGCCATTCAAAACAGAAATAAGGAACATGACCATCATTTCATTTTAAAAGAGAAGCTTTCGATTGTAGCTTTATATTAAGAAGTAAATTATTAGCTGCAATTTAATGGAATTTAAAAACTGAATAAGCTAACTAAAAGAAAATATATAAATCGACGAAGCGAAACACTTCAAGGAGGAGAAATATGAATTTAATTTAAAAATAACAAATTTTTACTAAATGCAACGGTGAAATTTTGCAAAAAACTGAAAAAATGAAAATCGTTAAAGCAATAAAACTATTTTAATATTTTAATTTTTGTAAGCGGCCGATTCGGAAAAAAAATTCATAAAACGATTATTAGAATTTGGAATAAAACATTTTCTGAATAAATAAATATCTTTTAGACTCATTTTTTAATTTTTTGAATTTATTCATTTTTTTAAAATAATTTTTGACAATTTTTATGAGAGTTTGGAGATCTACGAAGGATGAATAAAAAACCGTAAAAGAAAATTATAAGGCAGATTGGTCAGCGAAGAAAATGTGCTTTTGGCTAAAAAAATCCAGGAAAAAGAATGAAAACAGACAGGAATTAAAGGTGAACAATGATCGAAAGGAAGAAAAATCGAAAATGATTCCGATTCCTGAAATAGAGAATCAACTAGAATGCGGGAATTCTTTCTCCTTCTTGATGTAAGTTTTTTTGACTTCAGCACAAGTGATTCAACGTTATAACGGAGAAGCTATTGCCATTGAAGTGACGTGTTCCAATGAATTTCAGTAAAGATTTGAGTAAATTAAAGGAGAAAGAAAGGCTGACAGTTGAGTAGATAAGAGTGATTTCGAAGGCGCAAAAAGAATCAATGATTCCAAAGAAGGACGAAAATAGTTTTACTAGTAACGACTGTAATACTCTGAAGGATATTCCTCGAGAAATGCCTTTTTATGAAGAAAATTAATGCGTTGAATTTTGCCGTTAGCCCTAATAACGTACGAATAATTTTTTATGCGTACTGCATGATTTTTCGTTTTAGCCAAACATAAACACAATCGAGCTGGCGACGCTCTTATAGTACACTGAAATTACGGTCGCATAGGCATTTTAAATTTTTTTTCTTACCAAAAAGAAAAATTCGGCAACCGATATCTTTAGGCATAAATCTGTTATTTTCAACCTAAAATACTTAGTTCAAATAGGAGGTGAAACCCAATCGTATACGACATATAAAATAATTTCGTACACTCAGTTGAACTAAAAAACTAAAAATTCTGAAATAGAGTGACTCAGAGAGGTGTTGTTCCCATTATGAACCGTCGATGCTTGAAATCTATTCTCGACAAAAACATTAAGAGAAAACAGTGGAACGAGCTTAACTAGAAATGATATACATTTAATCTAGAGCAGTAATAAAATGTGTATTATAAAATGGGCCAATGAAAGTTTCATATATCTTAATAAAAAAATCTTCAGATGAATATTTGCAAGTGTTAAATCAGTGGTTCTTAACGGAGGTAGTGGAATATTTCTGCGGGGACACAACAAAAATTTGGAAACGTGGAGAGCCACAGTAACTAATAGGAAGACCATGCAATTATAAGAGGATACGCTAGCTTCGCTCTCCTAATGGTTCTCACCATTACTGCCTAGACTGGCTTCGCTAGTTATAAGAGTAAGACGTTTCCAAACTGCTCAATCAAGTGCTACCGTTATAGAAGCAGTAATAGAAGCCATTCCTTTTTCCATTGTCTAAATCCACTGCTAGTCCATCTTTACGCTCAAAATCATTCCTAACTATATTATATCAGCCCAAATGACTGGTCCTTCGAACGACGAAGAACATGCTTTAACCAGTGATGCGACACTCTAAGGACAGTATTGTTAATGTAAGTGGTGTATGAGGGAAGTTCATTCATGTGAGATTTTATCCGTTAGGACCCATAAAATTTCAGATACGCGTAGTCAAAGATGGATAGACAACTTCTTAATATCCTCCACTCTCAACGGCCATGTCTCGCAGTCATGTAGCAAAGTCGAAACTTTCTGTTTTATGTGCTCTAAAATACCATCTAAATATACAATATACGAATGCGCTTTTAGTTCAGTAGCAATCTAACAGCAGCGATATTTTAAATCTACAAGTACGTTTTTTAAAATTTCTTAAAAATATAAAGCATTTTTCACATTGAGCATTTTTATATCCTTGGCTACTTTTAAAATCAGCCATTTTAGTGAAATTAGTTGATATTTCAAATAGAATAATTGCCTTAAAAGTTACCAAAATTGTACTAAGTTCTCAGACTTATGTAAAACTTTGATCACTTTAGCCATCTGTTTCGTGAAAATGTCTAGTTATTTTGCGATAAACTGTGACATACTGTAATAAACATAAACTTTTACTGGTCATGATAATAGGGAGCCTATGAGACAATTGTTTTAAAGAGGTCATCCAATTATTAGTGAAACACCAAAAATATGGCACAATTAGAAACATTGCACATTTTATTAGGATTTAGAAATTTGAACCATTCATGGATCTTTTTCCAAACATATTGATGTTTATTGTTTGCTGCCAATTTTTTAAAGTTCTTTCAAGGCATTGTTATCCTTTTTTGGTTTTTTTGGTCTTTTTGTCAGCCCATTCATCAACCAAATAATTGCAATTTGTGACCAATCCCTCCACCGTCATTGTTTGGAAATCAGACCACATTTCTACACCACTATGAGGGTGAGCAATATAATTGACTATTGATAATTGGCTGATAATAGAATTATTTGTGATAATTGGTTTATCTCTTAAATTTGAGAATTTGAGGATCTTAAATTTTAATTACAAATAATATTTTAAAACCCTTTAACTATTTAAGAATTTTAAAACATTTTGGAAGTAAATTATGACACTGGCTGGATCAAAGTCATATAAATTTTAATGATATCAGAAAACAATTGATTATTGCATTGCTTTCTTTCATTATATCTTGATTAGTTCCTCGCAAAAGTTTAAAAAAATTTTGCCATCAGAATAAGATCCGTGCGGAAATAGCGGTATACTAATGGTAAATAAATTATGTAGAAGTGGAGTATACGGTTTATATAGCACTTTTCATTTTGGAAAATATTGTCGATGAATTTTGGCGTTTTGTCATATTATTTCGATGTATTTTCACTGTTATTCGGTCATACAGCTAATGAATATTTTTCCGCAAGGTTTTTTGACTATTTGAAAGCACAGATTTTCCTATATTGAAAAAAAGGATGCTGTGCTCAGTGCAATCAATGGTACAGTCTTTTTTGCAATAATTATAATCAGAAATAATTTAACAGTAGAATAGATAATAATAATAGGTTGTTTCAATTGAAACTTTTAATGAATTCGGTTTTTTCAAGGCTAATTGATTTAAGTTTTAACCAATTTGATTTTTTACACCGATAGTCGATTTTGTTTCATAAGTTCTTTCCATTCTTGCAGTTCTAAGAATCAGATCTTGCAGAAATATTACACTTGCACTCTATTCTACTGATTTAACCTAGAAGCACATTTTTTTCCTAATTTGCTATTATTAATGAAATGAAATTTCCAGACCATCTCTTGTCGTAGATGGATTGACACCTACTGCAAAATTGTATATTAAATTAAAAAATACATCAAATTAAAAAAAATTCCATTTTTTAAATTCATTTTTTGTAAGGTTTTTATCTGGAAACATCGATTTATAGCCAAGATTTCAAAGTAAAAAAACAAAGTTTAAATGCGATCGGACTGATAAGTAGGTTTTTCACGCAGCATCCATCGCTATTTGCATATTTCCTAGTCGGAGACTACTTTGCATTACCATGATATTGATATTGCGCGGTATTATTATAACAGAAACAATCAGTTCTTCTAGCCAAATGTCCAAGGTTGACACAGTTAATATTCTATTTTTAATTGTAATAATTGGTGATTTTATGATTGAAAGCTTGAAAAAAAAGCGTAATTCTAAATTATTCTAAATCTTGTCGATTTTTTTTATTTCCTTAATTCAATTCTTATAGAACTGTTTGAGACCTTCCGAAGTATACTTGACAGTTATGCTTTAACAGCTGTTGTCTTCAACTGCAATTTTTCATCATGAAAATTTATAAGAAATGTTAGGAAACAGAAAGGCATAGAATTTATATTCATTCGACGTCTAATTAAAAGAAAAGGGTAAGTGTATTAAGGACTTTGAACCAATTTTTCTTGTAAATTCATAAAGGATTCAATTTTCAAAAATATTTATCAAAAAAAACTTATCGTTCAACAACAACAGGCAAAAAAAGAAGCATTGTATGTATTTTGGCAGA